CCCTCGCTTGAGACATCCTCACAAAACCGGCCCCGGGGGAGGTGCCCAGAGGAGCCCAGAGCGGCCTCCGGCACCGTTTCCGGACAGATCCGCTGGATCCGCTGGATCCGCTGGATCCGGTGACGAATCCCAAACCGGCGCCCTCGCTTGAGACATCCTCACAAAACCGGCCCCGGGGGAGGTGCCCAGAGGAGCCCAGAGCGGCCTCCGGCACCGTTTCCGGACATCCGCTGGATCCGCTGGATCCGGTGACGAATCCCAAACCGGCGCCCTCGCTTGAGACATCCTCACAAAACCGGCCCCGGGGGAGGTGCCCAGAGGAGCCCAGAGCGGCCTCCGGCACCGTTTCCGGACAGATCCGGGATCCGGTGGATCCGCCGACGAATCCCAAACCGGCGCCCTCGCTTGAGACATCCTCACAAAACCGGCCCGGGGGGAGGTGCCCAGAGGAGCCCAGAGCGGCCTCCGGCACCGTTTCCGGACAGATCCGGTGGATCCGCTGGATCCGACGACGAATCCCAAACCGGCGCCCTCGCTTGAGACATCCTCACAAAACCGGCCCCGGGGGAGGTGCCCAGAGGAGCCCAGAGCGGCCTCCGGCACCGTTTCCGGACAGATCCGGCCGCTCCGGCGAATCCCAAACCGGCGCCCTCGCTTGAGACATCCTCACAAAACCGGCCCCGGGGGAGGTGCCCAGAGGAGCCCAGAGCGGCCTCCACCGTTTCCGGACAGATCCGGTCCGGATCCGCGCCCCGGGGGAGGTGCCCAGAGGAGGAATGAGGAGGAGGAGGAAGAGGAGGAGGAGGAGGAGGAGGAGGAGGAGGAGGAGGAGGAGGATGATGGAGCTGCGGGGTGGAGGAGGACAGACGGAGGCAAGAGAAGGATGGAGGAGGAGGAGGAGGAGGAGGAGGAGGAGGAGGAGGAGGAGGAACCTCATCCTCACCCTCGCCAACAGGCGCACGCACCTTCTTCTATATACAGAAACTCCCGATCAACCGCAGAGCGGCCGGCTAGTAATCCTCTCTTTGTCCTCACCCTCCTCATCCGCATAAACAGCATCACCATCACCATGCTGATGACGATGATGATGATGATGATGATGATGATGATGATGATGCTGATGATGATGATGATGATGATCAGCATCATCATCGCCGTCGTCGTCACCATCATCATCATCATCTTATCATCATCATCAACATCAACATCAACATCAACATAACCATCATCCTCATCCTTCTCATCCTCCTCGTCATCACAATCACCATCATGATCATCGTCCGCATCCTCACCCTCATCCTCATCCTCATCCTCACCGTCACCCTTATCATCACTGACACCATCGTCATCACCATCATCACCATCTGCATCCACAACACCATGAGTCGGAAACTAGTCATGCATATCATCATCACTATCGTGGTCATCATGCCTTCGGCCTGATGATCTCGGAGAAGCGTCCGGGAACATGGAGCTGGCTGCGTGTGGGGGGCTCGGCTGAGCCGTGGGGAATGAAGGATGCTGGCCTCCTGAGGTCCTCTTGGACGCGTATCGGGATCTGCTTGGGGGTGTGATGGGGCCGCTTTGGAGCTATGTTAAAGGGCTTGGGAGGGGCAGTCGACCGTCTTGGGCTTCTCCAGGGCCTTTCTGGGACTGCTCGAGGACAATTCTTGTACCATCCTGAGGCCTCAACGGCCTCTTGCCTCTTGAAAGCTTCTTGGGGGCCTCCAGAGGCTGTCTTGCGGCCATCTCGAGCTGCCTGAGGCCGTCTGGAGGCTAGCTGGGATCGTCTTGGCTGGCTCCCAGGGCCGTCTAGAAACCATCTTCGGCAAAGGTTGTGGGGCCCCAATCGACCGTCTCGGGCCACCATGGGGCTTCTGGTGGGCCATTTTTCGACCATTCTGAGGCATGAGAGGCCCCTCGGAAATTAACAGGGAAGTTCTGGCAAAACCCAATGGTTTCTTTGGTTTGGGATTGTTTGCTTCCCCTGAAGCTGCTTCTTGAGAGCCTCTTGGGGGCATCCAGGGGCCGTCTTGGGACCATCTTGAGCGCTGGGGCCGTCTGTAGGCTAGCAGGGACCGTCTTTGCGGGCTCGAGGGCCGTCTCGAAGCCAACTTCGGCCATATCGGAGCCATCTTGAAAGGTCTTGGGGGTCCCAGTCGACCATATTGGGCCGCCATGGGGCTCCTGGTGGGCCATGTTTGAACTACCCTGAGGCCTGAGAGGCCCCTCGGAAGCGAAAAGGGGAGTTCTGGGAAAACCTACTGCTTTCCTTTGTTTTAAAGCTGCTTGGGAGTCTCTTGGGGGCCCTTTGTTGGCAGTCTGGGGGCTATCTTAAGCTGTCTGGCGCTGTGTGCATGCATGCATGCATGAATGCATGCATACATACATACATACATGCATGCATACACACATACGTACGTACATACATGCATGTACATACACACATACATACACACATACGTGTAGACATACATTTATATGCATACATACATGCATACATGCATACATACATACATGCAACCAATGAAACATACATACATGCATACATCCATACGTGCGTACGCATATACACAGACATACATACTAACCTACACACATTCACACATACATACTACACACATACTTAGCTACCGACCTACCTACCTACATAGATATATCCAGATAAACATACATACACAAACATGCATACACACACATACAGCCCTACAAACAAACATGTATGCAACTGTGCACACATTCATGCATACGTAAACGCACACCTTCGTATAATTGCGTAGGTGCAGCTGTATATGTGTATTTGTTTGTGCATAGATGTATGTACCATTTGTCTATGTGTACTGCTATGTATATGTACGTGTGTACGGGCATGCTTTTGCATATATCTTTTTTACATATGTAACAGTGGGTGTAGAGGTACGTGCCGACTTATTTGTAGATGCAAACCATATGAACATGTATATGTGTATGTATAGGTATAGGCCTATATATGTATATGCGCATGCCCATGATATGTATACGAATCCCTAAATCATATCTATATGTTTATACACGTACGTATATGTCTTTGTCTGTATGCGTGAATGGATATGCAAATTCGTCTGTATATGTGACCCCGGGTCGAGGGTTCTCACGCCTCCACACCCAGGTGGGATGGGCCCCACGGTTCCACAGGCCCCCCCCGCCAGTTGGGAGGAGGGGGAACGACGACGACGCCGTCGCCGTCGCCGACGCCGACGCCGGTGACGGCGACGCAGACGCAGAATCCGCCGCCGCCGACGTCGGCGACGACGACGACCGCGACGACGACGACCGACGAGCCAGCCCACACCCACAGGGGAAGGGAGGCGGGGTGCACCGGCACCCTCCACCACGCCACGCCCACAGGGCCACGACCACAGGGGGGGGAAGCGACCCAATTCGCGATGCCTTCGCGAAGCTCACTGGCGTACCCATCCAGCGGGAGGGGGGGGGTGGGGCTCGACAGATGCATTGGGAGGACTGAAGAGGGGGCGCAACCCTGGATCATATGTGTCGCACCCCGCAACTGCGGATAAGAAAGGGGTGGCGGGCGCGGGGTAGGTCGCGGGAGGGTCGCGGGAAGGTCGCGGGTGGGTCGCGGGTCGGTCGCGGGTGGCTCGCGGCGAGTCGTGGGCGGGTCGCGGGTGGGTCGCGGGTGGGTCGCAGGCGGGTCGCGCGTGGGTCGCGGGCTGGGTCGCGGGTGGGACGCGGGTGGGTCGCGGGCGGGTCGCGGGCTGGGTCGCGGGCGGGTCGCGGGCGGGTCGCGGGTGGGTCGCAGCTGGGTCGCGTGTGGGACGACGACAGCAATAACAAACAACAACAAACAACAACGCAACAAAAATCCGCACCGCGGAACCCAACTTCAGCCGCGCACCCAGGGACAGTGAATGGCCGTTCAGGCCCCTCACTGAGATATCTGTATGTATATATGTATGTATGCATGTATGTATGTATGCTTGTTTGTATGTATGTATGTCTGTATGTAAGTTTAGATTGTCTTTACAACGCCCGTACTCATGAAAGATCGCGAATGGGCCCTCCTTGGGATCTCTTGAGGCAGTGTGCAAGCCGTTTTGGGTCCTCCTGGGCCGTCTTGGTCCCTCTGGGCAATCTTGGGGGCCTCTTGGGGATGTTCTGGGGCTGTCTGGGGCCCTTGTTGGGCTGCGTCTGGAGCCCCTCGGGGGCTTTCTTGGAGCTTTTTGGGTCCGTCTTGGGCCCTTCTTGGGCCGTCCTGGGCTTGTCTTTAGGCCCTCTTGGGCGCCTCCTGGCCATCTTGGAGCGATCTCGGGGGCCTGTTCGGCCGTCTCGAGTGCTCTGGAGACCAAGAAGCGGAGCATGCGAAAATGGCGCCGACACCTGAGGAACACATGTAATGTGTGCATCCCGGGGGCGTTTTGGCAGGGCCTCTTGGGAGCCTTCGTTGGGCCCCCTTGGGTCATCTGGGGAGCCCGTTGGGCCGTCGGGTGGCAGGAGAGCCTAGAATCGAATGGACAATTCGGATCGGCGATCGAAATGAATCGGATCGGCGGAAATCGGCAGCAGAGCCGGGAAAAGTCGAATCGACAGAAATTGGCAGGCTGGTACACCTCCTATAAGAAATCGGAGCCCAAATCGGAACCCCAAATCGAATCGAATTTGAATCGGAAGCCATCGCAATCGAATCGAATCGAATCGGAGGAATCGAAACGAGCCCTGAGTGGCCATCTTGGGCCCATCTTGGTCTTGGACCCATCGTGGCCGTCTTGGGCCGCCTGGAGCCCTCCGGGGCCGTCTTGGGGACATCTGGAGCTGTCTTGGGCACTCCTGGGACGCTCCCGAACCAGCCTCCCCGGCTGGGACCGAAGTTGTCCTGGGTCAGTTTTCTATGGGTCGGGGAACCGATTTATTGTACAGCTATAGGTTTGTGCATATACATAGGTGTTGTGGATGCCTCAAGCGGTATGTCTTGTCGAGTCGCGACTACGCAAAGACACGACGACTGTATGAGAAATCCTTGCGCGGAAGAGGGAACTACCAAAGAGGGAGGATAGAGGTACGCTTTGTTCGATAATGCATCAACAACGTAGGATGAATCAATCTGCTCAGCGTGCGAGTTCAGCGTGCACGGGCACGGGCATTTCCACTCAACGTGCATGCTGACATGAACCAGTCCAAAGCCATCCCGAGTACATGCCACCATTTCCTTGGTCACAATAAGAGGCGTCGGACGATGAGGAGGATAATGCAAGCAACGAAAGACGGACCAACATGGAACTGACATGCCTAAATGTCGGAGTCACGGAGCCAAACCCGAAACCATGGGAAACATCTTGTGGGTCCTGGACGAGACCTCACACCGTGATCGCTGTGTCCCATGGGCAATTGACACTCTTGCCACATTTCTCGAAGACGGCAAGCGCAGTAGCTGGCATCAGCATGATCGGTAAATACAGCGCGTCTTGCATGTAGGTCTCGCACTTGTCGTCGGCCAAATGAGCCGCAGCGCATCCAGCGCAGATAGCGGCCTCCGCGCCAAAGTTCTCCAGAGCCAGGAGAGCGAACACATCTGGAACCAAGCATCCTAGGACGCACTCAATGACATGGCTTGTGTTCGGGCTTGACATCAACTGCGGTGCTGCGATCTCCTGCGCGCCCGCGGCCTTCAAGCCGATCTGGCACGCATGCCGATCACATTCGAACGTCAGCCCAGACTTCGTCAAGCCGTGCGAATAATTGTGCGGGAGAACGTCGCAAGCGGGCGGCAAAGCGGACGCGCTTCTGAAACCGAGACCAACGACGAACATGCCGAATAACTTGCATGCCGGCATGCTTACCGTGCGGCCAGACGTGGAAATATGAGAGAACGGTTTGAGCCGAAGCGGCTCTGAGGGATGCGGGCCTGCGGGAGCAGCCGCGGGCTTTCAGGGAGTCTCCAGTGTGGGAAATGATTGGCGATTTGTTTCGCCTCGATGAAACAAGAGAGAGAGAGAGAGAGAGAGCGAGAGAGAGAGCGAGAGAGAGAGAGAGAGAGAGCAAGGGCCAACTCTTTGGGAAAGCAGTGCGTGCTAAATGCTGACCCCAAACTCATTCCAAGGTGCCCGCGTAACACCGCAGTCGAGGTTACGCGGACGGCTCAGGAACATAATTTGCTGGAGGCTTCTTCCTACTTTTGGCAAGGAACTAAAGGGACGACGACCCAAACACATGCAACGGTACTGGCATACGCAGCGATACTCGGCCAACCGCCTCGTCCAGCAAGGACCTGGGCAAACATCAAAGTTCGTGCCTCCAAGACACCCTTTGCGAATGTAAGGGCCCAACCGAAAGACTGACGTCTTTCAGAACCGTGTCATGAATTAGACAGCCTCGATGAGGATGAGGAGTATAAGAAGAGGAGGGCGACGAAGAGAGAACGAAGAGGACGGTGGAATCGGAGAAGGTAATTAAGGGAGCGTAATTGTGAAGAAATAACAAACCAGGAAGAGGGACTGGGGGAAGAGGAATCGGATGAATAGAAATCGTAGGCGCTGGCAAAGAGAAGATGGGGCGCACCCGTACGTAGCGCGCAACCGCAAACATCAAGAACACCGTTCGCCAACCTTTAGGCCATGGCAACCGGGAATAGCACATAATAGCGCAATCCGGGCAAAGGCGGACATCAAACAAACTTGAAAATCTTCATGCGCTCCCCTACCGCCTTAAGATACTACAGGACGGCTTTCTGGATTGGTGGTCTATCGGTCTGGGCATGTCCTGCACCATACATGGCAAACTGCGACGCTAGAGAGGACAGAGGAGGAGGAGGCAGAGAATGGGGTGGAGGGGGGGGGCTGGAAGAGCGAGGGGGATGAGGGCGAGGGCATGTGTGTGTGCTTGTGTGTGCATGTGTGTGTGGGGTATGGTCAGATTCCCAACGGCGACCTCGCAAGATGTCTCGCCCACTCCCGCCCGCCCGACCCCCCCCACACCCCCATGTGAGCAGCACCCGAGACAGGGTCGGCGGTGGCCGCCACCCGACGGACAACCACTGGGGGCCAGACGCCGAGCGCGCCGCGGTCGCGACGTGCCTCGCGCATGCCAGCAAGTGTGCCATGTACACCACGCGAAATGGTTAAGAAATCATGGGTTAAGAAATTCATAGTCTCAGAATTTGAATAAAAACCCAACATTTCCATGAACATCGTAGGATTTACATTGAAACGTTAAGAATAATCGAGACTCTGGCCGAAAACTTAGGTTTTCTTAAGCATCGCCTAAGGTGTACCCGACATGCCCAAGCGGGCCCCCGCTGTGCCACGTGCGCCATGTGCCTCAGGCGTGCCAACTGCGTCGGGGCGCGGCGCGCGAGAAGTGTGCCAGCGCGCGTGGCAACACATACCAGGCAGCATTATCAACACCCCCGCGATCACCTTGAAGAAGCAGTGCAGGGTGGTCAGCGCGGTGTATGGCTTGTGCACCCGCAATCAATTTACACTTGTTCTGAGGGATGGCAAGCCAGCGCGCAGCGGAAATATGCTCGCACCCAACCGCCCCTCTCAAAATTACAAGATCGTTCACCGCTTGGGTTCCGCCGCCAGCCCAAAAGAGGGCGCAGCCCTCCAGAACCTGCAAAGGGTGAGTGCCACCCATGTGGCGCGCGCCATGGGTTGCGAGATCTGGGTTGCGCCATTCATGGGTTACGCCATGGGCTACGCGACCAATGGGTTGCGCAATAGGTTGGGCGATCCATGGGTTGCGCCATGCGTTCCCGCCATAGGTTGCGGGGCCTCTCCCAAGAAGGGTTTGGGCCACTCGGGCGCGGTGATACCTAGAAGCAAGGCGTGGGGGGCACGGCGATTGCGAAGGCGATGTGCCATCTGGGCTGGAGATGTTGAAGTGCGTCGAAAGAAGTGTTTTGAAATCCTCGGGCGAAGATCCAGGATATGGAATAGCGGGTCCCCCTGTTCAAGAAAGGATCCCCCATGATGGGGGGAACTATCATGATGGATGCATGTTGCATACAGAATCATCGAGCATTCGGGTAACATGATTGCTGTTTTTGTTGCCGTAATTCGGAAGCCAATGGGCAATTTGGACTCTCAAGACTTTGTCGGAAAACAAACCAAGTGCGAGCCCCGGGAGGGGTACTTTCATGGGACAAATACAATGTGCGCCGGAGGGGGGACCGACAATACTTATTCATCAGAAATGGAAACTCAACAACACCAGCATCATCACCAACATCATCATCATCAACACCAACAACAACACACAACAGCGTAACAACAGCCCGCACCGCGGAACCTCACTTCAGCCACGCACCCAAGGACACTGAATAGCCGTTCCGGCCTCTCACTCTGATAACTGGACGCCCACACGTGGTACAGTGTCAGTTGCAACATTCACTTTGTGCTGTTGTGTTGTCGGGGGTGGTCGGCAACTCGGGCGGGGGAAAGCGCGTCAACTAACAAAGGCAGTGAGAAGGAACGGAAAAAGGGGGGAGGGAATGTGGGTTGGGGAGAGGGTGGGGCAAGGGCAAGGGGAGGGGGGGGATGGAGAGGGGAGGGACTATCGCGACTACCAATCGATGCGCACGGAAAGAACGAGCGAACCTCGAGCTCACCAATTTAGAGGCGAAGGAGGGGATGGGGAGGTGCGGGGGAGGGGCGGAGTGGATGGGCTGTGAGATTGGAGGGGGTGAAGAGAGGAAGGGAGGGCAGCAGGCTGGGAGGTTGGATGGGGGTGAAGAGAGGAAGAGAAGGCAGCACAGAGAAGGAGAGGGAGAGGAGCAGTGGCAGCGAAAAGGCAATGGACATCTGATGCGGAGAAGAGGATAAGGGGAAGGATGATGGGGAGGAGGACGTGGATGATCAAGGATGAAGAAGATTCTGCGGACGTAAGCAAGCCGCATGCAACCCACGCGAGGTTTGCTGTCTTTCAGCCCTGCCAAGCCGAGGCGCACCATGGAGGAGGAGGTCGGGGGGGGACCCGTACATCCGACGTAGTGAACAAAACCAATGCGACGTAAAAAGTCACACGGTTGGCGATTTCGTCCTCTCGTCAACAAGTACTATTTGTTCAAACTGGATCGATCCTTGGGACCCCTGGGACCCGAAGCGGGCCAACAGACCCGCCGTGTGCTCTTTCCTGGCGGCGAAAAGGTGCTAGGGAGACAAGGAAACAATACGCAACAAGAGGGCGACGTAACATTTCTGACGCTGGTCGCCCGCCGCCGTTGAAAATTCCAACCGCCGTGGCGTCACCCGCGTCGGCCGGGCAATCCGCCGCCGTCTCCGCAGCGGTGCGGCGGGCGGATACGCCGAGGCCTCCCCGCAGTTCCTTCGTGTGCTCTTTCTAGATACATATAGGTGTGATAACACAAAAAACAAGAAACGGGTGGTAATAGCACCCGAGACCTGCAGCATGCAGGCGTGCTTCAGCAATAAGTCATGCTGTCCGTGGGGGACGCGGAAGAGGAGGACGGACACTGGCCATAGAGAGGCCTGCGGACACGCGCACGAACGAACGAACGCCCGTTCAGGGGCAAGAGGACGAACTCCGCAGCCCTCCAAATATAGCAAAACACGGCCAAAACAGCTGACAATTCATCGCTGAGCTGCTCAAGGAATTGCAATGGAAGTCCAAGCGAAGCTGGAATGACGTGGCAAGGCGCAAGGGGGAGCAAGAGGAGGAGGAGGAGGAGGAGGAGGAGGAGGAGGAGGAGGAGGAGGAGGAGGAGGAGGAGGAGGAGGAGACGGCACACGTAATTAGACTAGAATAAGACGAGCGAGAACGAGCATGAGGAAGCATCCTCTCCCGTGGCATTTGGAGCAGCGGCGCGACTGCCAGTGCACTCCCTGGCGGGTTCCCGCTGAAAACGCGAAACAAGGACAGCGTCCACCGCGATTGATGCGACATGTCCACGCAGCCGTGCCACAAAGATGAAGCCATAGGGCGAGAACGCTGGGGCGCACGTTTCCGAGCCAACCTGCGAGTCTCGCCCCGCCCTGAGATCGGAACACTCGACGCATTGAGGCATGAGCATGCGCTGTACCGTGTTGCTTCCAGAGCTCACACGTGCGCTGTTCTGCCACTGCTCGGCCCCCGGAGAGCAACGCGGCCGGCCCCCCTTTCCCCGCCAACGAACACGACGACGGCCAGCGCGCACCTGGCCGCGAAGGCGTCCTCGCCTTCGTCGCCGATCATGGCGTCCATGCGCGCCTCCACGGCGACCTTCATCCTGCGTTTTTGTTGATGCGAAGGGGGGGGGTGGACGGACGCGCGCGACTTGCACCTCGGCGGTTGAGCCGATCTCGTCTGTGTTCCGCCGCCCGCCCTTTGCCCGCAATCCGACGCAAGCTCGGGCCAGCCCAGGATGGACTCCATAGAGACTTGCTGACTTTACCGAAACTCTTCTTATGGTATCCTATGGGCCCGAGAGAGGACAGTGATCCCTGGTGGACTATTCGACATCACGACAGATGGCGCGTGCACGTCTCGAGCCGAAGGGGATCTGAGACAGCAGTGGCGCACAAGATGCCCTATGCAACCACCCACGGTCCAACACTTTTTTCGTCGGCGGCGAGGAGGGACAATCCGCTCCAGCGTGGCAGCGATGCAGGGGCACTACAAAGCGAATTGGCGGCCGCGGGGGGGGATAAGGGCGAGCACTCCGAGGCGGAAGGTTTACCCACGGTCCAATGTGCGGTACCTGTAGAATAATGGGTCTCCTTTCCCTTACGACGCGGAAGGTCTCTTCCTCTCGACACGAAGGAAGAAAGCTGCGCATCTACCTGCTGTCACGCGCTGGCAAGCCTGACCTAGACCTGGCTCTCCTGCACCCATGCGTTACACGAAACGGCCTCCCAAGAGGCGCCCAGGGACCCCACCAGAAATGCCCTGGGAAGCCAAAGCCATGCGTCCCATGCTCTTCGGCCTGCCTGAGATGGTGTCAGAAAGGCGCCGTGCAGCCCCAAGCCTGCACCAAAAAGCCTCGATGCACCCGTACCACGGCC